GACCACATGTAACTTCTACAATAGGCTTCAATCACTTGGATCACTTTAGAAGGCAAGGAAAAGAGTTGAGCCCAGTAGGATTGGATTCCAGATAGCACTGTCTGAATCAGTTGAAACCTTCCAGCATAGGATAGCATTTTTGCTGTCCAAGAAGTTACTTTTGCCACTATTGTATTGATGAGTGGCTGCCATTGCATCAAAGTCAACTTCTTGGTATCCAATGGTACCCCCAAGTACTTAAAGGGGAGTTGTCCTTGAGAATAGCCCAGCAATTGAAAATTTTCTTCTATAATTTTGGCTTTCATACCTCAACAATATATATCACTTTTAGCTAAATTAGCTTGTAGTCCAGAATCTGTTGAGAATATCAGTAAGCAATTTTGAAGTCTCCTTACTGATTCTATGTCTTCTCTTTCAAACAATAATAGGTCATCAGCATAGCTCAAATGAGTGATATGTAGTCTTCCACATCTAGGATGATATTTGAATCCTTTGTCCTGTTGCAATTCATTGAATAGCCTGCTTAGGTACTCCATTGCAATTGCAAAAAGGAAGGCGAAATTGGATCTCCTTGTCTTAGGCCTCTAACAGCATTGAAAGGTTCTACAGTTTCCCCATTGAGCAAAATAGTGTAATTGACAGTTCTGACACATACCATTATCCACTTTGTGAACTTTTCAGGAAAAGCCAACCCCTCCAAAACTTGCTCCAGATAGGCCCATTCCACTGAGTCATAAGCTTTTTGTAAGTCCACTTTGATCATGCACCTAGGGGAGATGTGCTTCCTGCTATATGATTTAACCAACTCATGAGCCAAGATAATGTTATCAGCTATTCTTCTCCCAGGTATGAATCCTGCTTGTGCCTCTGAGATAATGAAGCTCATGATTTTTTGAAGTCTCCCAGCCAAGACTTTAGCAATTAGTTTGTATAGCATTGTGCAGCAAGCTATTGGTCTATAATCTTTCACAGTGCTTGGATTTGCAATTTTTGGTAGCAAGGTCAGTGTAGTGCAATTAATGGCTTTTTATAGGACCCCTGTGATGAAGAACTCCTTTACTGCTTCACATACTTCCTCTTTAATGATAGGCCAGACTTTTTTGAAAAATATAGCATTGTATCCATCTATTCCTGCGGCTTTGTGATCTCCAATTAAGCAAAGGGCTTCATATTTCTGTGTCTGCAACCGTGGCACACAATTCTTACTGTTGAAGGTGAGATAATAGGTCCATTTCTCATCACCAGCATATTGACTGTAGGTAAGGTAGTGGCAGCTGATCCCATCAAGGACTTATAAAAATCAGCAAATTCTGTTTTATTAGCCCTGGGATCCTGTAGCTTCATTCTTGTCAGAGAAGTAATTTCCAGGATCTGTTTCTGCTGCTGCTTTTCTTTCATCACAACTGTGAAGTATTTTGTGTTTGAATCACCGAACTTAATCCATGTAGCTCTAGATTTCTGTTGCATTGCACTTTCTTCTATCAATGACCACTTTTCTAGTTGCTCTAAGCACATCTTCTCTTAATCAGCCAATACATTAGAGTACTGATTTTGTATTGCTTGTTGGACTTCTTTCAGTGAGGTTATAGCTTTAGATATCTTCTCAACAATACATGTGAACTCCTCAGAATTAAGCTGTTTGAAAGTAGGTTTCAAATGCTTTAGTTTCAGCCACACACTATTCATACTGCCTACTGTTTCAGTTCTGACCACCCTTCATCAACAATCTGTCTGAAATTTATGTGGTCTGCCCATATATTAAAGAATCTAAAGGGTACCTTAATGTGATTTTGGGGAGGCCTGAATGGAATAAGGATAGGCACATGATATGATATGAAAGGTTCTCCAAAGATAGTTGTTAGATGTCCATATTGTAACATCCATTCATCATTTGCTATTTCTCTATCCAGTCTACTGTAAACTCTATCTGTACCTTGCTGCTTATTAGTCCATGTATAATAGTCACCTCTCCCATGGAATCTCACTGAGTAATAAGTTGTTGTAGCAATTTGTAAAATCTTGTAATTTTGCTAAAGTAACTGGGGACCCTTTCCTATCTTGTGGATATAGGAGAGCATTGAAATCTCCACATATGAGCCATGGGGTATTACTTCTTGGAGCAAAAACTTGCAAATCATTCCACAATTCTTTTCTCTGTTCAATTTTGTTAAATCCATACACAACTGTAAGTAGGTACCTCATTCCATTCTGCTTGCTAATGACTTGGCAGTGAAGTAATTGAGCTGTCTCTTTAAGCATCTGAACCGTATACATCTTTTGATCTCAAACCACCCATATTCTGCCTTTTTTGCATCTCTATAATTAGAATGTATTTGCCATTTAGGAACCACCTTGCTAGCAATGCATTGTGCATTATTTTCTTTAACTCTAGTCTCTAAAAAAGCAGTTAATTTAATATGATTTTCTTTGAGGTATTGCTTTAACTCTTTCTGCTTATACCCCTTATTGACCCCTCTAATGTTCCAAAATAACCAAGTCATTGATTTACTCCAGCTCCACCTCCTGCATCTGGAGGTTTAGGATTTGTAACTCTCTGCTCCTCTGCAGGTAAAGCATTGAAACACTTACTTATTGAAACACCCTCTTGGAGTAGTCTGGTCTCAACTGTTTTCCTAACACCTGAACTTTCCCCCTGCTTGTTAGTATAGAGCTGGCTTTGAACACTATTAGTTCCTTTTGTATATGGCCCTCCATACAGAATTTCCTGCAAATCACTTAGACTTTGGAATTTAACAATGTAGTATCCCTCTTCATGGAGGAATAGATCAGGTTCAGCAACTGAGTTTCACATTTGAGAAATGTATCTATGCATCTGGTTGTACCCAGGTACTTCCCCAATAACACACACAACTAGAGCTTTCCTTCATTTTTCCGTCTCATTATCTACCTCTTTTTGTCTAAATTTACAATAAATTGGTGTCACAACCCGAATTTTTCACCCTCGGGAATCGTGATGGCGCTACTAATGTGAGCTAGGCAAGCCAAACCTTTAATCTAATTACTTCATTAACCAATTATCTCTTTTTAACAAATATAAGACGATAACATGAAAACAACGGAACTTTAAATAATTAAGCAGAAAATAACAATTAAATATCTGAAATCTGCATCAATTACAACTCTTAAAACCTACCGCACCCAAAACCCAGTGTCACAGTGTCACAGACGGTCTAAGAGATTACTACATACAAAGTCCGAAGAAAAGACAATACACTGTTTCTGAGTAAAAGGAAAATGAAACAGGAAATAGGAATAGAGGAGACGCCAGGGCCTACGGATGCCTACAGGTCTACCTTAGATCTTCGCATGGACTGAAGGTAGCCTCGACACTACAATCTAAAAGTTGCTCTGGGATCTGCACATAGTGCAGAGTGTAGTATCAGCACAACCGATCCCATGTGCTGGTAAATGTCCAGCCTAACCCTGGTGAAGTAGTGACGAGGCTAGACCAGACTACCAAATAAATCTGTGCAGTTCAAATATATATACAGCGGAAAAGAAATACAGAAATAAGCAAATAAGGATAGGAGGGGGGGAACATGCTTCGGGGAATAACAGGTAAAACAGAATATCAAGAGAATTATAAGGGATCAAAATCAACCACTAACAAGAATAAGGAAAACAAAGGAAGATTTCACTTTCTTTTCACATCTTGTTGCAGGCGTGCAACCCGATCCCATTTCCTACATCTCGTGGCAATCGTTCCACCCAATCCCATTTCATTTATCTCCTGGTAGGCGTACCACCCGCTCCCATTTCATTTATCTTGTGGTATGCGTACCACCCGCTCCGAGTTCAGTATATCTTGTGGTAGGTGTACCACCTGCTTCCAGTTCACTATATCTTGTGGTAGTCATACTATCCGCTTCCAGTTAATTATATCTTGTGGTAGGCGTACCACCCATTTCATTATATCTTGTGGTAGACATACCACCCGCTCCCATTTACAAGCCAACAATAACCACAAGGAATCCCAGCAAGGGAACAAGAGCAATATAACAACTTCCCGGCAAGAGAACAATAATATCAAACAAACATCCCGGCAAGGGAACAATACTCTCAAAACAAACATCCCAGCAAGGGATCATTAATATCAAACAAACACCCCAGCAATGGAACAATGGTGATAATAACATATGAAGCGCAATAAACCTCAACGGAGTCATAACAATTATAATAAAAGACTCACGGGAATGCTTGACAACAACATATAGATACTCGTCACCATGCCTATACGTCGTACTCCACAATTAACATATAGCAAATAAGACACACTCCTAATCCCTCAAGCTAAGGTTAGACCAAACACTTACCTCGATGCTACGAGCACAATTCACATTTCAATTATAGCTTTACTCCTTGATTCCACCACCAATTCGCTCGAATCTAGCCACAAGTTACTTAATTACATTAATAAACGCTAAATGAATCAACCCCATTGCATGAAAATGAGTTTTCTAAAGTTTTATCCAAAAAGTCAAAAATCTCTCCCGGGCCCACATGGTCAAAACCCGAAGTTCGAACCAAAACCCGATTACCCATTCCCCCACGAACTCAAATATATAATTTGTTTTGAAATCGGACCTCAAATCGAGGTCCAAATCCCCACCTTTTTGAAAAACCTAGGTTCTACCCAAAATACCCAATTTCCCCCATGAAAATCATTGATTTTGAGTTGAAATCATGTGAAAAGATGTTAATGATTGAAGAAAATGAGTTAGAAATCGCTTACCAATGTTTTGGAGAAAAAAAGTTATTTGAAAAATCGTCTCTTATGTTTTTGGGGTTTCAAAAATGAAAAATAACTGAAAATTCCATCTTAATATACTACTCTCAGATGCCCTATGCGGACCGCAAAAAATCAACTACGGCCGCTTAGCTCCCATGTGGACTGCAGTGACATGTTTTAGTATTTTGGTCATAACTTTCTCTACAGATGTCCAAACTGTGATTTCTTTACCTTTCTGGAAACTAGAAACGAAAGGATACAACTTTCTTTCTTAATCATCTCAAAATTCCTTGTAGATCAAATGATATAGGCTTCTGAAGTCAGACCAGTGAAATGTTCTTCACCGCAGACCGCACAGAATCTAGTGCGGCCGCAAAGCCCTCACCGCAGTCCGCACAAAATCCAGTGCGGCCGCACAAGCCCTCCGCGGTAGCATTCCTTTTTGTGCGGACCGCACTGGTTTGTTCAGAGGCCTTCCACTTCTCTGAACCTGTAACAACTATGTTATTAAGCCTAAGACATCCCGGAACCTACCCGAAACTCACCCGAGCGCTTGGAACTCCAAACCAAGTGTGCATACTAACTCAAAAACATCATATGGACCTACTCGTGCGATCACATCATCAAAATAACATGTAAAATCATGAATTAAACCTCAAAGCTCAACATTTTCATCAAGAACTCTCAAAGTTCATAACTCTTCAATCGGAAGTCCAACTCACATCAAATAAACTCCGTTTTCACCAAACTTCACAGTTATGTTTCAAAAACTATAACAAGTTTGTACCGGGCTCCGGAACCAAAATGTGGGCCCGATAACAATAGTTTCAAACATTAATTCTTTTCTTTATTTCTTAGATAATTCAAAAATTGATTTCTAAGGCTTGGGACCTTGGAATTCAATTCCGGGCATACGCCCAAGACCCATATTTTACTGCGAACCTTTCGGGATCGTCGGAACACGGATCCGGGTCCGTTTGCTCAAAATATTGACCAAAGTCAACCATAATCAATTTTTTTTTAACTCTAGAAATTCTATTTCTTATATTTTCACATAGAAGGCTTTCCGGATATAGGTTCGGACCATGCACGTAAATCAAGGTGGGGTAAAAAGGATATTTTTAGGTCGACACTGAATACACTTGCAACACAAGTGATGACCTTTTGGGTCATCACATTCTCCACCTCTAAAATAACCGTTCATCCTCGAACGAACATAAGAAGGAAGTAACTAAGTCAGGAAAAAGAGGATAACGGCTCCGCATATCGGACTCGGACTCCCAGGTTGATGCCTCAGCGGGCTAACCTCTCCACTTAACATGAACAGAAGGAAAACTCTTCGATCTCAATTGACGAACCTGCCGGTCTAGAATAGCTACCAGCTCCTCCTCATAAGATAAGTCCTTGTCCAACTGGACAGTGCTGAAATCTAACACGTGGGATGGATTGCCGTGATACTTCCGAAGCATGGACACATGAAACACTAGATGCACGGCTGATAAGCTCGGCGACAATGAAAGTCTATAAGCCACCTCTCCCACTCGATCAAGAATCTCAAACGGGCCAATGAACCTAGGGCTAAGCTTGCCTTTCTTTCCAAATATCATCACGCCCTTCATAGGCGACACTCGAAGCAATACCCGCTCACCGGCCATGAATGCCAAATCTCGAACCTTGCGGTCGGCATAACTCTTTTGCCTGGACTGAGCTGTATGAAGCCTATACTAAATAATCCTGACCTTATCCAAGGCATCCTGAACTAGAT